CAACGAGTAGTTTGCTTTTTGGATGATAATGAGACCAGATAATTTCCATTCAAGCATTTGATGGAGCGTCAACCATGCTAAGAACATGCTAAAAAGATACGTGGGTTGGTTTGTGGGAATAACCGTCTTTTACTCTTGGAAACGAGAATTAAGTAACGTGACCACATCTTTGAGGATTTACGGAGAATGCTGAGGCTATTAAATGTCAAATATAGATTTTGAATCCTAATTCGAATTCTTGAGACATACGGTAAACTTTATATTGTAATTTTATTTAGTAAGAAGGGAAGAAAGGAATAAAGTGTTGGGGTTTGTAGTGATGGGATGGTGAGGTTGAGAGTTAGTTAGGAATAAGATAAATAGGTTGAGGTTGAGAGTTAGTTAGGAATAAGATAAATAGGTTGAGGTTGAGAGTTAGTTAGGAATAAGATAAATAGGTTGAGGTTGAGAGTTGTGGGAGGGAATGTGAAGTTGCAGTAGATTTGAGATTGTCCAACAGCTTTAAAACAGCATTATGGCTGATTTGACGTTTTGTGAGGCTTACCCAAAATACTAATATGATTTGGAGCAAAATAAGTGAAAGCTTTGACATGTGTTCATCTGTGTTTGGTTTGTTTGTGCTTTAAACATCCTCAAATCCAAGCCTACTTGCATTCGGAATCTCCACATGAAAAGCCAGGATTCTCCGACGGCAGCTTTTTTGTTTGTCATGATGTCAACTTTTCACACTAACTTATCCTTCATCTGATGAAAGCTGAGTATCCTTAAGAAGAAGAGAATTTTTGTGATAAAAAGCTTTTTGTTGCTGATGACGTGAAGGGAGGAATGAAACAATATGCTTCATTGCGCCCTACTCTTCCCTTTTGTCCAACAGCTTTAAGACACCACCATGCCTGATTTCATGTTTTCTGAGGCTTACCTTAAATACTCCTATGATTTGGAGCTGTGATGGGGTGAGAATGTCTTGAAAACCTGGAGAACTCTGTGTTTCCAGGTGTTCTATGTTGTTTGCTAACTAACCTTTCACGTGTCTTTAACTGTGTTCGGTTTCTTTAGGCTTTACCTATCAACTCTATTTAGTTACACAAGGGTTGTACTTGCCCTCCAACCCCACTTGCATATGGAATCTCCATATATGTAAGGTAAGCTTCATACTAACTCATCCTTTATCATCTTCCCTAAACAAGCATCTTTTAGGAGAGAATCTTGAGCGTTTAAAGGACCAAAATCATTCCCATGAGATTTGATCCATAATCATAAGGATAATCTAAATAGGGATTTGTTGTATAATTAATTATATGGATAATCCAAATACTACTTTGAAACACTAAACTAATTGTTGCCAAAATTCAAACAGGGTAACGCAGAACATGACTTAGTCACGCTGAAATTTATTCAAGGGAAAAGTGCACACTCCTTATAAGAGTGTGGAAACCTCTCCCTAGTAGACGCATTTTAGAACGGTGAAGCTGACGACAATACGTAATAGGAAGAGTAGAGTCATACCCATGGAGTTTATTGGATAATTTTAAAGACAAGAGAAGCAGAACCAAAATGTTAGTCCCACAAAAGTTGTAACCAAACAAATATGAACACAAGATGATGCCAGCAGGCACCACACAGTAGCCGGTCATATTTGCATTGGATGTTTTAACTTGAAATCCTGAAATTTCTGCGAGCTGTGACAGTTGTTTCTCTCCACTCAAAACCTGCAGGAAGCAAGAATTTGATGATAAAAATAGAAGAAAAACAGCCTAACAGAAAGGAAAGGGAAGATGTAGCTATGGGTTAGACACGTTCATACAAATTTTACACCACAACACAAGTTCCAGAGAATGATGGGTATTGAAAAAGAAGAGCCAAACTAGATCTAGCGGATAAACAGATATATTCCACCAGAGGAAGGACAAGGGCCTTTTATTTTTGTAGACCTACTTGAGGAAGTCTTCCATGTTGGGAAGAACCCGAGTCAAATATGTGTATAAGAATTTGATGAAATTGACACATATGTTCATTAAAAACACAATCTTTTAGTAGGTTCGTTCTCGGGCCATTAAAAACAGGTAGCATGTGTATAAGACCTTACAATCGAAACCCTCTCGAAAAAATCTTAATTGAGACATTTAAATCATACGTGAAAAAACTAAGTTACTGTTAAAAACAGGGGCATTTTCTAGTCATTTTCTACCATTGACAACTTTTTCCACTTTTTTAAGCGAGGGTCGTTTAGACGTTCGGAAAAGTTATTTTCTCGTTATTGTCTCTTATTATGCTCATTAGAGATTGTACTAGGAGTAAGATAGGGAAGAAGAAAAAACACTAGTCATGTGTATACAATCTCACCATCCAAATCCTCTCGAGGATACGTTTAAATTATTATGGAAAAAAACTAAGTGAACTATGGACAGTCACTTCCGAGTCATGTTGGGTAAAACAACCACCATAAATTTGCATCTAACTGAACTTGAAACTCTTCATGAATCAAGATCACTCTCCAAAATCGATTTCAGCTCTTCCCATTTTTCGTACCCAAACAAATCAGTGGCATCCTCATCAAAATCCGAGAAGCTCGACGACGACGGTGATACGTTCGTCGGCGAATTATGATCGGCGGATGATGGCTGATCAGTTGGGCCACAAAAATGAGTAATGAATCGGCCACCGTGCACCATCTGAATCTGAGGAGAATTTTGAACCTCCTTCACATGACCAAAGCTAATGAAGGAATTATGAGAGGCGAATCCGATGTATCTACTTTCTTGGTTGTCACTCAAACATCTGTCGATATTGATATCATTGGTGGTTGCTCTGAAGTTCATGACCTCCATAGATTGACTTTTGGGCGCTGGAATCTCCCTCCAATTGGGTGTACTGATGCCTTTTCTGGTGGAGATGTTTCTTTTGAATATGCGACACAAAGTCCAAATTTCCTGCGAGGGACAGAAAAAAATAAGTTTTTGACACATACCCTCTTCTTTAATTAGGTCAAAGTTACAAACTTGGTGGTCAAACTTTTAAAACTTTGTTACTACTTACAGCTTCTTGGAGGCTGTTTTTAATCATTGTACCGAAGGGATGGCGGGAGGTAGAAGTAGAAGAAGAAGCAGAAGGAAGACGAAATTCATTCATCATCCACTCGGTTTTAGTGCCTTTACCGGCGCTTCCACGGTAATAGACAAGCGTCTTCTTCAACCCAATGCACCCATGATGGGTGTGCCCATAAATAGGCTTATCAATTCCCGTCGCCTTCCAAAACCCCGACTCGGTCACCCTATTTGGCCTCCCACTGTTCTTGTACTTCCTCCCTCGTTTGCAGAAAAAGTACCACTCTTTCTCCCCCACCGCGTTACTCGCATCTGCATAACAAACCAACTCGGTCTATAAGTTTAGAGAGTTATTAGATATACGAAAGATAGAGATAGATGAATTGGTTAAGAATCGTACGAGGAAGATCCCATGGGCTGTATTTGTAAATGTCGATTTGTTTGATGAGTTCGATGGAAAGAGGCTTGTTGTGGACTTTGCGACGGAGGTAGAAGTCAACGAGCTCTTCGTCTGTCGGGTGGAAGCGGAAGCCCGGAAGGGGGAGCTGGTCATCGTCGGGCATGTCGAATTGTGAGGGAGTGGCCATTGGAAGAGTTAGAAGTTTATGGGAATTAAGTTATGGGAGTTGGGGGAAGAGCATGGTTTAATTTATAAGGTAGAGCTTAAAAGGGGAGATGGGGAACGTTGAGGATCAAGTCATAGGGCTCTCAAGTACACCAATTTGGACTTATTAAAACCAAGAAAGAGAGGCTTAGAACTCAATATATATCTAAAATTCTTCTTATTCTTTGTAAACCCTTTTCATATCGTGTGATGTTAAGTTAAAATTTCATTTATTTGGGTACAAAATTCAATGTGTCTGGTCCCATCCATCAGGAGCTTCGTCTTCCTTGACTTTGAAAATCTCACTTGTTGTGCTGAGTAGAAGTTTTGAAAGTAAAAACTTCAAAATTAACTCTTTCCCAGCTTCTACCTTCTAATTCAACCACAACTCCTCAATCGGTTATGGAAGAAGGTTTGATAGTCAGAATCTACCGCTAGCAGACATTGGAGTCAACATCCTTGGTTGCACCGTTCGATGATTGACTTTGATATGCAATGGGTCGTTAGCTGTCTGTACATATCTTTTATAAATATTTATTTCCCAAAAAAAAAAAATAATAATAATAAAATAAAAAATGGGAGAAGATGATAAAAATATCTGGAAAAATCTTTTTTGAGATATTTTTCTGACCAGCCAATAAGTTTGAAATAAAAGCATTTGAATTTTGAATGAAATTAAAAATAAAAATATTGATTAATTAGTAGTGTCGATAATCTAGGATGGAAACAAGCATATTACATCACTTCTAATCAACCACAATCAAAAGGGGATCCAGAATTTTCAAACTATTGATAATAATATAATTAAATTAATTAATTAAAAAAAGAAGCAATAAATTGGCATAAATGGCATTCAGAAAAATTGATGTTGCCAAGTCAAACATTATTCAAATGTGTTGACCATACCCCTTCCAAGATAATGTATTTATTATGATCACCTATAATGTATGCTTTGACTGTACTGCTACACCCTATCCAACTCATAGGGCCTCCAAATGTTATCAATTCTTTTATATATATATGTGGAACTTCAATTCATTTACATACTTTATATTATTTACAATCATATGCATCGGTTTAGTTTGACAGCCGTCGTTAACACCCTGTTGAATCACTAATCAATTCAAAGGTTTTAACTAATAAGTTATGATAAATTTAATTGCTATGTCCCTCCTCTTATAACTATATCACATAATTCCTTCTCGTTGTTCTTGAATCAAACTTAAGTGTGGAGGTTTTAATTAATTTAGTTAATACGTTAATGTTTTTGTTTGGATTGGTGGAATGAAATGGGGATGTACTAGATTGTTCCATATCAAATCAACCAAGCAAATTCCCATCATGAGCACAAAAACAGCAAATTCCCATAGTAGTTAGTGTATGTGTGTTATTTACATATAACTAAATTGAAGGGTTATTGAAAAAAGGATCAAAAGCAAAGTCCACAATGGATCTGAGTTCATCCCAATCTTCCTCAAAGTTGGAGAACTCCGATGAAGCTGGAGATTGGTTCACCACTTCAGCTGCTCCTTCTTTTGTTGCCTTCTTCTCTTCAAACCCATTAAACGAATTACACCCAAAACTTATATAAGTTTCTCTTCCATCTTCATCATAACATTCATCACCCACACTATTACTACATCTTTTGGTCTTCATCATTTCTTTCCAATTCGGTGTATATCTTCGACACGTAACACTCCGTTTGAATATACGACATAGCGTCCAAATCTCCTGTACCCTTCAAAATAAACTATTCAATATACACTCATCTATCAGCTTAAGCTTTTGAATTGAATGGTACGTAATTTTTTTTTTTTTCCCTTACCGCTTCTTGATCACCATTGATTATGGTTTTGGGGAGGTGGGAATTGTGGGAATTGTGGGAATTGTGGGAATTGGAGCCATTGCTTGGAGGAAGACGAAACTCATGCATCATCCATTCAGTTTTGACGCCTCTTCCAGCACTTCCCTTGTAAAAAACTAGGGTTTTCTTCAGACCAATGCACCCCTTTCCTTGTTCTCCTTGTGAATAAATCGGCTTGTCAATGCCCGTCGCCTTCCAAAACCCCGCCCCCGTTACCCTATTCGGTCTCACGCTGTTCTTGTACTTCCTCCCTCTCTTCACGAACACGTACCACTCTTTCTCTCCGCTCGTCCCACCGATATCTACAAATTCGCAATAGGTCAGAATATCTTTTATTTGAACTAAATTTACCGTAATCTATCAACTTACAAGGAAGCTCCCAAGGGTTGTATCGGTAAATATCAATCTGTTTGATGAGTTCGAGGGTAACGGATTTGTTGTGGACCTTCCGACGGAGGTAGTAATCGACAAGCTCTTCATCCGTGGGATGGAAGCGGAATCCAGGAAGGGGGAATTGGTAATCATCCATGTCGAAATCCGTAGTAGTAGTAGCAGCAGCAGCAGCAGCCATGATGAAATTGAAGAACAAGAAAAAGGAGGAGAAGATATAAAAAGAAAATTAAAAGTGGTTTTAGTTGTGAGTCATGGAAGGAGAAGAGGTTGGGTGTTTGATTTATAGAGTGAAAAGATTCACAAATTTGGAAAGGTCAAGTCTTTGGGTTTGACTTAGGATGGTCTGTGACGAAACAAAAGACTTGACTTTTTAAAACCAACAATGTTGGGCCACAAATTTGTCATCATCCAACCTCTTTTCAGTGTCACCTTATGTCTTCTCCATCTAGACTTCTAACATACATATTAAACCAATTCAAAACTAGGAGCAATTCCTCCATTCTTCTCTCAAACTCAAACGTGAACATTTCTATAATATGAATTTTAAAACACTTGTGAACATCATTGTTCAAAAAAATTAAATTGAAAATGCGACCAGTGTCATATTAGGAGGAATCAACTTTCATCTATGCATCAAGAGCTTCCCGTGGGACCTCATTTATTCTTAAATTATTACAAATTTTCGATGGATGATTGAAATCTAGTTTCATTAATTTAATTTACTTTTAAGTAAGTTCTTTTGCGGTTTCATGTAGTTTAAGTTGCATATTTAGAATCATTCAAGTTTGATATGATCAATCTTGGTTAGAATATCATTATTGATTCTCAACGTAGACTTGTAAGATAGATATTAAACCAATTCAAAAGTGGAATACTACCGATGACTATTCTTCATCTCCAATATAAAATAATATAAATAAACAAAGATAATACTTATTATAATCCTCCTACAGACATTAACGGCTCAATCCTACAAACATTACTTTATATTTTAAATTAAACCATGTTTTGAATATTGACTCTTTGGGTATCATTACTGCTTTACTTTTATTGTTGAATTTGTTGAATTTCATGCCATGCTAATAATCTTAAAAATAACATATTTTAAGTTCAACCAGGTCAAGTTGAAGAGAGTAACAAAATATTCTTCATAAGGGTGTGGAAACTTCTTCACAAAAGACGCGTTTTAAAATCGTGAGACTGACGACGATACATAATGGGCAAAAATGAATAATATCTGTTAGCGGTAGGCGGAGTTGTTACACGATGCCATCGATTTAGCAACCGGTCCAACAATGAAATTAAAGTTTGATTGGTTCATGGTCAAAACATTGTTGAAGGGAAGGGAGGGAAAGGTATAGAATCCAATAGCTGGTGGACAAAAACATGAAAAGAAAGTCAAAGTCATTTGGTCAACAAGTCTTGAGACAATGTCTTATTTGAGACCATCAATTTAAGGAAGAACAAGGAGTTTTAATTAGAGGGAGTAAGTAATATGTAATTAAAGAGAATAAAGACTGTCTTTTTCATTAGGGTTTTGTTTATTTCCAAGTAAACATATAAAAACTGTGATGTCCCGGACATGTTTGAGACAATCCAATTCCAAAAAAAAAAAAAAAAAAAAAAATCATCCCCTTTTAATATTGAATTCTAGACGTTTGAACTTTCAAATGAAATTAAAGTTGAAGTCGTCTCTATTTTGGTTCTAAACCCTAAAGACGGTAAGATATTACATATTAAGTGACCCGTTTTCTTTTCTAAAGTGAGTCACTGGCTCGTTACCTGTTTTAGATAAGAATCGTTTTGTTTGACCCTAAGCCATATAGAGATATTGACCATCCAACCCATACATCTTTATTCCGTCTCCAAAGTTCATGTACCAATATACGACCCAAATCAAAATTCTTATCCCTTTTAGAACCACAAAAATAAATGTATCAGTAATCTCCGTCACTCCTAATTCTCTACGCGACTAGTTAACCAATTATTAGCCACAAAGTCATTATTGATGCACAATCAGCATAGAATTTTACAAATCAATCACATGCAACATATCAAGCTTGAATGTCCCTTACCTAAGAAGCAAAACCCTAATTTGTTTCTAGCTTTTCGTTGACTAAAAGTTACTCGTTAAACCCTAACCAAAATATCCGAAATTAGCCCAATTCAAAAAATTATAGTTTGAACAAAGGGTATGTAAGCATACTAGACTTTGAAACGAATTGGAGGCACGATTAAACTAAACTGGTTCAACTGAATCGAATTGATAGGTAGTATTGAAAAAACTCATTAAATCAGAATATTGAAACGGTCCAACGAACCAACCATAGATCGAACCCGTTCCTTCTCGCGCGGCCTGTATTCCTAACATGGTGTCATCACTTCTACATGGCAATCTGTGGCAGAGAAGGATGGTGTTGCAACTCCACTTAATTACAACCACCATTCTAATTTTATTTAACCACGAGAGAAAGCTACATAATTTTGTCAAAAAGGGATGACCTTAGTTTCTAAAACCAAGAACAATCTAAGTGAGGGGAGATGATTTTTTTATTTACAACATAAAAGATCATGAAGGATCATTAATGAATTGAAGCTTCTTCCTATCTTTGTATCCAAACAGATCAGTGGCATCCCCATCAAAATATGAGACAGTTGTAGAACAAGGAGGCTGTTGGGAGATGGCGCTAAAGTTCATCATCAATGGGTTCCAATGATGAGTACCCACCGCCTTGTTTTCACCATAATTAGAAGGGCTGAAACTAATGTAATTGCTATCTCTATCACAACATTCATCATCCATATCATCGCTATTATTCATTTCTCCAAAAATGCAACCACCATTGCCTGCTGCAATCTCCCTCCAATTTGGTGCATATTTTGCACATGAAACGCTTCGTTTAAAGATTCGACACAACGTCCAAATTTCCTGGAATTAAACGAACCGAATTTCACAACATAAATCTAAACAAAAAAAAAAAAAAAAGAACAAATTAAATTAGGAGGAGTTTTGTTACAGCTTCTTGGACATTGTTTCTGATTGTTGGAAAGATGGAAGGTGTAGGAGTATTAAGAGAGCGAGAAGGCAGGCGAAATTCATGCATCATCCACTCAGTTTTGGTGCCTCTTCCAGCATTTCCCTTGTAGTAAACGAGGGTTTTCTTGAGGCCAATGCACTCATTTCCTTGTCCTCCATGGGAGTAGATTGCTTTGTCGATGCCAGTGGCCTTCCAGAATCCTGACCCTGTAACCCTATTTGGTCTTATACTGTTCTTGTATTTTCTTCCTCTTTTGCAAAACAAATACCATTCCTTGTCTCCCAAATTATTGCTCACATCTGCACAAATTTCCACACAATTTCCAGTTCATGAGTTTATTATTATTATTATTATTATAATTGTGCATATAGAGCTCAAGTTCAATGAATGAGGAGAAGATGACAAAAAAAGAAAGAACCCTATTAAATTAAGAGTTTTGTGTTAAAAAAATGCGAGTGGGACAACTCAAATGTTTCTTAATTTATCCGAAAACATAAAAAATTATGGGGAAAAAAGTAAGCAATCTATGAAACCTTGGAACAGATCTTATAACCTTAATTGCTGGCCAAGATGGATAAGCAGACTTACCGTCGGTACATATTGTGTTCTTTAGATTTTTTCTTTTGGACTTTTCTTCAAAGTTTTTAAAACGAGTTAGCTAGAGATAGATTTTTACGTCATTCGTTTCTCTTTCCAACTAATGTAAGATCTCACGTTAACACTATGTTTTAGATCTTTACACCAAACGCATATCAAGAAGGAATGCAAGATTACATCTTTTTTGAAATAAGTATATAATAGGAAAGTGAAAGTAGATGATGAGAGAGTAATAGAATCATACTAGGAAGATCCCAAGGGTCATGCTTATAGATATCAACGGACTTGATGAGCTCCATCCCCATCGCCTTCTTATCAACCTTTCGTCGGAGATAGAACCCAACGAGCTCGTCGTCGGTAGGGTGGAATCGAAACCCTGGAAGGGGGAACTGATAGTCATCGATCTCAGGCTCACCAAACATGTTTGTCAACAATTGTGAAGAAGAGGGAAAAAAAAAAAAGGAAGAAGTGAGAGAGAGAGAGAGAGAGAGTAGTTGGGAAGTTGGAAGTAGAAGAGATTGAAATTTATAGGGTGACGATGGAAGGTGAGGTGGGGTTTTAAAAAGTTGGGGTCTTTTTTATTTGAGTGCAAAACTTATAAACTAATACCAAAAACCCTCTGCCCGCCATGTTCTTGAAACACTCAATTCTTTACCCAAAAACAAAATGTTGAATGATTTGGAGTTTAGGAGTGGAAATCTATAAGTCATGTATGGATTTGATGCATTGTTTACTTTAAATTTTGTTTCTTTAAGGAAAGTGGCAACATGTTTCCGTTTAATCAATGAGTTCTTCTTCTTCTTCTTCTTCTTCTTCTTCTTTTTGGTCAAAATTTCATTTTTTTATCCATATATTTTAACATTTGCACTTTAGTTTATACATGAAGTAACAAAATAATAATGAAGATTCAAAAATCTAGAAATAGAGCTAAGCGAATGAAGGGAGGGAATGAATGGACTAATTACCCTAGCTCTAAAAGCAAGGGAGAAGGAAAATCAGTATGAAATAAAGAAGATAGACTACTTGCCATGAACACTGGCCACTGGTCAAGTATCCTACAAAGAGACTCTCGAGAGCTGGAAGGATTAAAAGAATGAACAAATTGTTGCGTTAGTGAGACTGATTAAGAAGTACTTAGACATTAGTTTACTCATTGTCTGCCCTATGCTCCCTAGGTCACTACACCTTCTAAGCTCTATGCTCCCTAGTTCACTACAGTTTCCAAGCGCAGGAATCAACATTCCTCGTTCTATCCACTGGCCTTCATATTGGAGTCTTCAAAGAAGAATTTGTCTCGAGCAATCGTATTCAGTAAGAGAGGAAAGTGAGTGGTTGACACTGAATTGTCGATATTAACCGAATTTGTTCTAAGTGAAGAAGACAAAAACTCTTTTAGGGTTTTAAGGTTTATATATATATATATATATATTTTAGGGTTTAGGGTTTATATATATTTGTTTTAGAGATAAATATAGTTCCTGACACATACAAAAGGAAACTATAATTCTTTAACCACACTTTGTATAATTTCTCTCATTTACATAATACTTATGATACTTAAATA